CTGACTCCGGGCCTAGATGCCCTAATTAAGGTCCTCTAAAGCTTCATCTCCTGTATGGTTTAAAGTCCTTTGCAGTTTTATATCCTTTGTCGGACCAATGACTATCGATATCAGAGATAAGGCCCTTTGAAGAGGAATCTCCTGCATTCTTTATGTTCCTTTTTCGTGTTCAATTATATCTCTATCATGTTTCTATTCAAATGACTCGCCCGTTTTCATGTATTCAGGAACATCCATATTATATATTAATATAATATTAGGTATATGAAGAGCTATGCCCGACTTTGGTTACGAGACTGTGCCGACTGCCCAGCCCGACCACCAAAATATACAACACGTTCAACACAATAACCGATAACTGTGATGCTCAGACAGCCTCACTTAGCTACCTACTTAGTTGGGTAAAAATGGGGTAAATTACGAGACTGGGAAACTCTACAGCTAGTATTGACTAAGCTCTGAGTCCTACATAGTCACATACTTCTCTAAGACAGTACAAAACAGAGAAGTACGTAGAAGCCCCATATCCGCCTGACGAAAGATTCCTCATACAAATCCCCAACCGATCAGGTATATTAGACCCGGGAGGATAGGCATTAGGTTCGGGAATAGTATCAAAAGGGAAGTAAGTCAACTCATATCTCTTTGCGAACGCCGCCCATTTGAGATGAATACCGTCACTGTATGTACGACTCCATACATGGGCAGGAGCAGCCTCGATAACTGGAGTAACCAACTCTCTCAAATCTTTCAGAAAGTCGACACGACGAGTAAGCAGAGCGCTATCAACGGATGCTTTATCCACGAAACCTAAGCGTGAATTTGGAGCATTCTACCACAAAAGATTAGTAAGAAATTTAGACGAACGGAACTGGACGATCACTATTTAAGTGCCTTCGGGGTTTCCTTACTGTCTGCGGTTGCTCGGCTTGGTTCAGTAAAGTCAGCAGAAATTCGTTTTACAAGGCTCCCGGGATACTCACACTTGCCATTACTGACTGGACCTTGCTTTGGTGGCCCTGAAATCTGGCCCTCGATTCTTTCCAGAATATCTCGCAGTTGATTAAGATCTGCTAAGGTGACCGGCCTACTACCAGCAGCTCCCTTATCCCCGGGCTGGGTGTGTTTATCTTCACGTCCGCTCTTCCCACTACTTCCACCTTCCCCGCCAGGAGGCTTCAAATCAGTGGCCTCCACCGCGGGAGGGATGGCCTCAACTTCTGTCGCCTTCATGATCCGCAGGAGATCTTTCGCGTACCCCGCCGCCGCCACGGCGGCATACGGCTGCCACACCTTATTCTTATGGTCGTCTGAATAGTCGCAGATGCCTCGGATTACCACGCATGGAAAGTTGTCCATCAGTCCTGCTGCCTCCATTTCAAAACAAGATATATCCCATGCATCTCGCAATCTATCGCGGCGTTCAGCAGACCTCATTACAGCATTCGCAGAAGCAATCAGTCCATAATGGATTTCTGGATCGTCCGAATCTCGTTGTAAGCGTCTCTCAACCATTTTCGTATTACAACTTGAACAATCCTCCCCTCCAGCATGCTGATAACTCGCTTTGAATAATTTATCTCGGCTTGCTCCTGGAAATTGGCAGTTTGATAATTTGGGAAGTTTCAAAGCTGCTGCGGTTGCTTCCTTGATATATCGATTCATCTCTCCTTTTCCAAAGCTATGGTCCGACCTCAGCAGTTGGATCGCTTTTAATAATAAGCCAGGAGGTTTGTTTAAGTGCGATTCGATACTGAACTCTCCATCATTCTTCCACTTGCCCATATCATATTGAAGAACACCACCTATATTCTATTAGAAACTTATCTAACGATTAGGTATAAATGGTTTCCCAAACCACGGTTCTTCCGTATCAGGTTTAAAAACTTGAATAGGAAAGCGCCATGGTAAATCTAGCTTGAGAAATACTTGCCGTGGTTTCCTTTTGGATCACTAACCACAACGTCTCCCAACCGGATATCTTTGCTTGGATCGTCGAGGTTTGGTGATTTGGGGGCACCGCCGCCCACCCCCACCAGTAGCCCGAATCGAATATTCCGAAAAGTGCGAAGCATATTGGTCACCATCTGCGCCGCAGCATTCGTGCCGTAGGTTCCTGATCCAGGGAAGGTAATCACAACATTGTGCACCCCCATTCGGCCAAGAAGATAGCTATTATTATCATTCTCCTTCGGTGGAAGTAATTCATGTTCTTCGTCTAGCAGTAATCTCGACGCATTGAGCTCGGTACTAAGCACGGTGGCCCAGCCAACTGTGTACGCCTCACGGCTAAGCTTTCTATTGTAAGCCGGAGTATTAGCAATTGAAGTTTTATCGCAAGGACTCAATATAATAGCTTACTTGGTTGCCATCGCTCGAGATCCTGAAGAGCCTTACGAATCACAAACGATATATTCGTAAGTTAGATAACTGAAGAAATCTTTCCCAGACGATTCTCCTCCCCGCCTTCTTCGTCCCCATTTAATTTCTTAAATGAAGCTTTTAAAAATTTCTTGGCTTGGTGCAGCCCCTCACTCCATCATAGCTATAGAGGGGTAAGCCAAACGCAAAAAGCTAGGCCGGGTCACTGTCAACTGTACTCGCATAATTACGTGGCCCAATTATTTTCATGATGCGCCTCCAACGGTATAAAGTTTTGCTTCTCGCAATTCATGGCCATGCGGCCCATACTGGTTGAATCCGGGGTATTCGACAATGCGGTGAGGTATTTTACGTCTTTGGGTACATACAATTGCAAGGCCACATCACTTGCATGCACCAATCAAATCCCATAGCTAAACAATCTCGCAGCTTTCAAAGTATACTTCCTACCGAAGGGAGCTAGTCTCTATTCCATTCCGATCCCAGTTGCATAAATGATTAATATTTATTCCAGACAACATTGCTCTGTTAATGATATCAAACACACCCTCTTGAAAATATGGAATTCATGGGTTTTCAGCCATTCCTGTAGTTGAGAGCTTCAGATTATATGCATTAGTTCTGTCACCATCGCGGCGCCGACGGCTCATTACTATCAATTTCCAGTAACATTGCCCCAAAAACGAAGAAAGTAAGAGAATTCCAAACATGACTGATGTTGGAATAAAAGAAAAAAGGTATATTCTCGACCTTTGTATTTGTGTATAATTCGAATTAATTCTGTGGGGCCTAACTTAGAGCTTAAAAGACTAGGCCACGATTCCTACACAGTAGGATGGGTGTGTGTTCTTCTCTGCGAATTGAACGCATCAAGGGCGATGTTAGATGAGGAGCACGAACAGCTAGATCCCGTCGAGAATGATAACAATAGTTATATTCTCGGGCAGATACAGAAACACAATGTTGTAATAGCCTTCCCAGGATCGGCGTCTGGCGGCGCCGCACAAACAGTGACTAATCTGATTCGGACTTATCGCAACATCCGATTTGGATTGATGGTTGGTGTCGGGGGAGGCGCTCCAAATCCTCTCTATGCAGAAGATCCGGATAGGGATATTCGTCTTGGAGACGTTGTGATAAGCGATCCGAAAGGAAAGCACGGTAAGCCCCCCCGGGTTCATAGTTTAGTCCCGAGTACTATACCTAGTATCCTTACCTCTTAAGCATCCACTCGCTGACATCGATCCAGGGGGTGTTCTTCTATACGATGCAGGGAATTGGGATAGTGTTACTGATGGATTTGAGATCGAATCACATCTAAACAAACCCCCAAATATTCTACTCAAAGCAGTTCAGTTACTCCGGTCAAACCACGATTTTGGGGGAGTGGGAATGAGGCAATCAATCCAATCAGTAGCGGAAAAATCTACCAAGTTCCGGGCTTTGAAGTCGTATCGTTTTCCGGGGAGGAACCAGGACCGTCTCTTCAAACCGGATCATCGCCATGTTGGAAAAGCTGGGGGTGATTGCTCGGCTTGCGATGTTAACCTTATCGAAAAGCGTCTAGAACGGGATTCGGATGATCCGATAGTACATTACGGTCTTATTGCCTCCGGAAACGCAGTTATGAGATTCACTCAACTTCGAGATAAGTTGCGGAATGCATGGAATGTCTCTTGCTTCGAGAGAGCTGCTGCCGGGATCATGGATGATTTCCCATGTCTAGTTATAAGAGGTATATCTGATTACGCAGATGATCACCAAAATGAAATCTGGCAACCCTATGCGGCGGTCGCCGCTGCCGCTTACGCAAAAGACCTCCTAAGAGTAATCCAACCCAGAGAAGTTGAGACTCTCCGACCAGCTAACGAAGTAGTGGGATCCTCCGAGGGCAGGGTGGGACATATCCCTATAAGTCAAGTTACTCGTGCACGGGAACGCGATAAATATGCGTTCCGTTTGGAATTAGAGAATCTGGTCGTCAAACTTCTTTCGCTGCCCCACCGGCATGGATGGTGGTATAACGAAGAGTTCCGCAATCTGGTCGAGCGGTTTTCGAAGAAGTGGGATCTGGATATAGGATGGCAAGAAGCATCGAAGAGGCACAATGTTGATCGTTTAGTCGATTCAGATGACTCTCTAACGTTATTGAAATCCAGCTGTGTATCACTTTGGAACCACCAGAGCCAGGACGACATGCTCAGGTTGGAGTGGATGGAAACCTTGGTCTCCATGCTGGAATTTGTACGCTCGATAGGAGAATAATTGAACCATCGTTCTCCAGACCTGATATTCATTACTTGCTTAATCAACCGGTAGAGATTATAGAGGTCAAAACATGCCAAATTTAAATGCGAATGTGAGTTATATATAACCTTCTGAAGGAAATATAAATGAGAACATACCCTATTTCGGCAAAAGGAAGGTGGGCCACCCACCCGCCCATTCTGAGTTTAGCCCAGGCCAGGCCTAGCGTGGTATATATATATTGGCTAGAGAAATTTAGAAGTTGACGTCTGGGTACGAGACCAAGGTGCTATAATATTATATATTAGATCGAGGTGGACTACAATCCAAGCTAGACGCCCCTCCGCGCAGCGTAGCCCCCCAATTCCGTGGGTTGTATGGTGTAGTGGTTAGCACTTCAGATTCTGATTTGAGATTTCTGGCGACTTGGGTTCAATTCCCAATACGACCTTGTTTTTTTGCCCCTTTATCAGCTGTCAAGGTATAGCTTAAACTGGTGAGGAGTATGATGATGGTAAATTTTTTGATTTTTTATATTAGGCGTGATCCATTTTAGACACCAGGACATATACCTCGAGGGCCTTTTGAGGGTCCGGTTTTTAGTATTGGGTTTAACGTTTGTGGTTTTTAGACTACATGGTAAGTAAAATTATGGATATACGACCGATTTTTTTTCTTTCTTTTGGCGTTTAAAATAAGGACTAACATACTACCATTTTGATATAAATCGATTAGCATATTTACCGTACTCATCCATCGGATATCGATATCGATATCCACCAAGAGTTGGGTATAAATTATATAAATTTCGTTTGGTGGTGCAGTGTTGCATGTTGTAGCTCACCGGCGTTGGCCAAAGCTCCAGCCGAATCCAGTTTCGCCAAACCTCAAATCCCAATCCACCATCGCGTCGACTTGCACCCCATCCACCTCACCTCCAACAAACCCGCGAACCCACACGAGACCACCAACCCTTCAACCAATACCCCCCCGAAGGTCCATCCCACCTCCAAATACATCTTTATAACCGCCCATCCCCCGATCTTTTCTCCGACAATGGGTTCCATCGGTATTCCGCTAAAGCTACTGGGCGAGTCGCAGGTTAGTCATTCCCTCAAAAAATTCATCAAAAAAACCCAGCACGAAAGCTATAGCTAACTCCAACAAACAGGGCCACGTCGTCACCCTCGAACTCACGTCCGGCCAGGTTTACAGAGGGAAACTACTCGAAGGTACCCCCTCTCCCCAATCCTGACTCTACAGCCGTTACAAACCAGAGAAACCAAGGGAGATGCTGATTGATGATGATGGGGAGAATAGCCGAAGATAATATGAACGTTCAGTTAAAAGATATCACCGTCACTGCTCGTGATGGTCGTGTATCGCATTTGGATCAGGTTTATATCCGTGGATCGCACGTACGGTTTTTCATCGTGCCGGATATGTTGAGGTGCGTCTCTTACACTTCATTGGAAGACGATGGAGTGGGTTTTTGCTAACTGACTTGTGAATTTGATAGAAACGCCCCAATGTTCCGATCGAGAGCTGTCCGTGGACGTGGTGTCGGTATGGCTAGAGGAAGGGCTACGGTCAACAGGGCGAAGACACAGCAGAGACGGGGTGGTGGCGGCGGCGGTGGAAACTAAAAGTCTTTTGCTATCCTTGCTTGGGCAGGGAAACTCCCATCCATCGATCTATACAACAGCACTGGGTTTCAAAAAAAGGCGTGTATAAGATCGAGATTTATATTAGAGAAAAACAAACAAGCTAGTGAAGAACCGAACGGGGGCAACTGGGAGAGTTTTTGTGATACGTTATGGGGTGTATTTTTAAATAATGAGAATCATCTTCGATTTAGCAGTATACCCGCCGTTATTTGATATTTGCCATTCTATTCGTGAACGTTGAAGTTGAAGTCGAAATCCATAGCGGCACGTTCGCTAAGAGGTAGCTGACTGAGCAGCTCAAGCTTCCCTGCCGTACGACGTGCCGTTCCATCCCACCTTCAAGCTTCACCTTCGCCCTGCACGTAATCCCCACCAACCACCACCAATACATCAAAACCCACCAAACCATGCCGGAACGAAGAATTCTCCTCGTAGGCAGACGGGACTCCGAAATCCTACAATTCCTCGAAGGTCCCCTCCCCCATTCCTAGCAGCATCCAAACCCCCAACTAACAATAATATATAAAAAACAGCCCTAACCGGTTCCCTCCCGCCTCACCAAACGCCAGACTCCCACGCAGGCCTAACCCACACCTTAACCCTCAAAACCCAATACTACACCTCCACAATCCCCATCTGGATCGATGAAATCCTCTCAGCGACAGAATGGTCAACCGCCTACTCCTCCTCGGAAGCCAAGGAAGTACGACAAGTCCTCGGTGCGATAATATATTGCTTCAAACACCCCGGTTCCGAGGATATATCCGAACTTAAAGATGATTTGGCCGGATTACAAAAAGTGGTCAAGGCGTGCGGGTATCATTGGGACGGGGTGTGTTTGGCGGTTACGATGCCGAATAGGAGTGTTAAATCCGAGGGAGGGAAGACGGTTGAGGAGTGGGAGGATTTGATGATGGAGTTTGGATTCGAGTTTGTGGATTTTGAGGCCAAAGGGAGGAATGATTATGGGGGTATTCTATATTCCTAGTTGAAGTTTTGGGGTTTTTGTGGGAGGGAGGGGATGCTGATGGACTTTTGTGTAGAACCTACTGGTATGGAAAGGCTGAAGGAGGCTTTGGAAGCAAACGACTGGAACGCCCCATTATCACTCGGCCTCGACGATCTAGACGATGACGAACTCGATGAACTGGCGGGAGAAGACCCAGTCGATCAAGATGGAAATGTCAGGAACGGGCTGAAGCTCGAAGCCAACGAGATGGAACAGGAAATGTTCGGTTTACACCAGGCCATCTTAGACGAAATCGGCGACGATGACGACGAAGATGATGAGGAGATACAAGTTGAGAGCCTCGAAGCTGCGATGCAGAGATTACAAACCGTCAAAGGTACTTCCCTCCCTCTCTTCAAGCTCCAAAAGAGACATTACACCTTCATTCTCTACCGGCTTTATAAAGCCCATTCTATGATACACGGCCCGAAAAAGAAAAGAAAGAAAGAAAGAAGTTCTAGTCTTATTAACAATTGTTATGTCCTGCATAGATATGGTCGCAGAACTCCCCGACGACAAAAAACGCGCCTTCGCAGCCAAAGCCGTCGCCGAAGTCATGAAAACCCTCTAACCCCCCTCCACCCCGCATTACCCTCTACTCATCCACAGAGAAAGGTACACCCCACATCCATCAAAAAGGAAGAAAGAAAGAAGTAAAAGAAGGAAACTCCTAATTCCTCACCACCTTCTTCCCCCTCATCATCTTCCTCCTCTGGTGCATCATATGCGTATACATAACATACGCCCCCGGAACATAACTCCCATAAAGCACAACCTTCTCAACCAACCCCACCACACCACTAACCCCGTCCAACTCCCCCAAACTCCCATAAATCTCCACGGCCTCGCTCACTATTCCCACGGGGTACAACACAAAGAAAGTATTATACCTCAACGTCGTAAGCCACGCCGGTGGTTCGCCCTGGAGGTTTCGAGCGTAGTATGTGTACCGTATCACTTCGGTTACCGACCAGGCGAGTAACATGCTCGAATAAGCCGGCGAAGTACGCATCGATTCCGGGCAGAGGTGTAGAATCGGCCAGACGAGGTTGAGACGGGAGGCGACCTGGACTACCGTTGTCGTCAGAGGTGTCCGTACGATTCCTATTCACAAATTAGCCATTAATGTCTAGTGTAATAAAAAAAAAACTTCCAAAATGAAAAAAAAGTACATACCAGCAAGAGCATGCACGATCTCCATTATAGCCAAAGTCTGTGTCCATTTGGTATACTCCCCGACACCCTCGTATACCTTCTCAGGACCTTGGCGGATATTGATCAATATCGTGCGGACGAGGACGACGGCCCATAGTGCGGAGGAAAGGGTGTTGTATGCGACCAAGTAGTTGGCTTTGAGCTTCAGCTCTTGTCGTTGCTTTGGCGTCGGCCTGGAGGCCATTTTTGGTATTATATTTTGGGATATTAGGAATTATTTATTATTGTTGGTAGTTTTTTGAGGTCGTTGGAAGAAGGTGGAAGTTGGTGTGGCGATTTCGGGTTGGGAAGCTTTGGGGGATTGTTGACAACGTTGGTTATAACGGCTCCAAAGCTCAAAGTCTCTCCTCGGTCGATAAAAGACCTCCTGAACCGAATACAATTAAAGAATAAAAAGGGTCCGGAAAAAAAGAAGTCAAAGCTCCAGAGATCCGTGAATCAAAATACAAAAGGAAGAGGGTTGCATGTACTATTATCAAAAAAAAAAAAAAAAAAAAAAGACTAAAGGTACGACCTGTTTCCCAGTTTCGTTGGGGCAGCTTTCAACCGAAAACTCCACAGCGAACCAGGTTAAACCCGTTACCAAAAAACTAGCCAATTATCCAAAGCATCCGCCGAACCCCCCAGACCCCTCCACATGTTCCCGAGGCGCCCTCGAGACCGTAACCCGGAACTTTGGAGAGGCGTTTAAGACAAAGACCAAATAAACTTAATACAGGTACACCACGTAGACCGAAATTAATGGACCAAGTTTCCCTTCTGATATCTAATTTGTTATCATTTCATTCATTGGTTCCCCACCTTCTTTCTTGTTCTTACCCTTCGTCTCCAAGCTTCTTCTTCTCACTAACACCCCCTCGCTCGCTGTCTAGAGGGTTGATAATAAAAAAATAAAATAACCTCCACGATCATGGTAAAGAAAAAGAGAACCAGAACGCTAACAAAGCGAGAAAAAACAAAGCAATACAGTACAATACAGTAGAAGGAATGGGGTATAAATAAACCATAAAAAGGCAGACAGACAGACCTGCGTCAGATAGAAACACGACTAAAGTAACAGAGAAAGAGATATGTCAGTATGTCAGAGAGAAGAGGGAGGAAAAAGAGAACGCCACACGACAATGATCATTAGCCTTCATCCATGTGAAGAATAACGAGAAATAAAAGAAACCTTCCCCGAAAAGAAACGCCATTTCATGATGCCTTAAGGCAGAGTAAGGAGAATATGGAAAGGAACAGGAAGAGAAGAAGGAAAACGGTGTCTAACAGGAGTAGTGGTATTATATGAATGGGAAATCATGAGTCAGGAATGTCAATAGGGCGTTGTCAAAACCGCCCCTTGTGTCGGCGGGAGAAAGAGGTTTCTTTCGTAGATGAGAGGGATAAAAGCGGCAAGTGGGAAGTGTCTGGATCATGGGTACAGTTCCCAGATGAACTTCTTCCCAGTAGTAGCTTGCCTGCATCCGTCAATAGCACATGAAGGGTACTTGCGCTTTTTGCCTCTTTGGCCTCGAGGTTGACTGAGCATTGCATTTGCACATTCGCCGCAGTAGCACTATA